TGAAGTATAATCTTTAAGTAAATCTGATGCAACAAACTTGTGAAAAAATAGAATAAAATAAAAAATAAAATATCTCGGTATTATGAACTTCGATTGTGGGACGTGGAGACCGGTCCTTTGGATGAGATCGTATAAATCGAGGTCCCTTGTCGCAGAAGGTGCTGGCATAAAAAAGATTCCCCTCTGCTCAATTGCGATAAGTGCCAAAGTATAGGACAAAAATTTGCAGTCTCCACCGGCGAGTGGTGGCGTCTCCATGTGAGTGAAAAATTCTGGAGAGGGACGTTGAACAACATACGTATAATCAATCAATCGATTGCTGAAGAATTACTGTAATTGAATAATCTGTCTTATAGTTGTGCTGTCAAATCTTGATATTATAACTTTACAAAACTCAGTGACTTTACGTTTAATGTGATACTAACTTAATTCATTATATTTTTTTTATAACACCATCACAATTATGCCAAAACATACACACAGTGAAGTTTATGATAGTACGGTGTTCGTTCGTCTGTTTGTTTGTCTTAGAAATGATTGCAAACAATTTTTTTTTAATTGCTAATGACATACGTATATCTCTTATAGGTGCCAAATGTATTATACAAGATTGATAATGAAAATCAAAGTACCTTAAGTACTGAAAGGACCTTTTTTCCAGTAATTTTTTTCTTTCACAGTAAATATGATATGTATGTTTTTTACACAGAAAAAAAGCAAATTCTTACAGATTTAGAAGAACGGAAGACTTTTTTGTTGCCATGGCAACAAGAGTCTAGTTATTATTATTATTATTATTCCTCCCAAATTTTGTGAGCTCGATTACTCAGAGATGGTTGGATAGATTTTCACAATTTTTCACATAATAGTAGGCTGATATATGAAGTTTATATAAAATTCCGTTTTTTGAAAAATTCACTTCCGGTCCGAAGTTACGGCCGAATTTCCAATTTTTAAATGGACTTTTGTCCGGAATTTTTCTCGGAAACGGTTTGAGGTAAGGATGTGAAATTTACAGGAATATTAGATCATGACATTCTCTTTGTTTCGAAGTTGTTTTCGTATGTTTCCGGTACTTCCTGTCCGAACCGGAAGTGAACTTGTGTTTGGTCAATTTTCAACTTTTTTGTTTTTTAATATTTTTTCAAGATATTATTATGTATAACAGAGGTTATTCTACAAATACTAAATATATAATTTGTTTTAAAATTGGATTGCGCATTTTCTAGATTTTAGGTACCATCATTTTCCCTATTTACCTAGTGTGTATACAATGGGCAAAGAAAGATAACTCTGACTTGTAAGTGAGAATAAAACTTTCGAGATAAAGGCGGAAATAGTATCGATGACGTCAGAGACATATACACTCTCCATATCAAAAATATTTAGACGTTCCATATGCACTCTTCTAAATGTAAGAGTACGTTGGTTACCGCTTCAGTACATGTATAGTTTAAAGTTGCCAGTGTAGTGTAAGTCTGTATTGACAGTTAATTGATTTACACATGAATATATCTAAAAAAAATTAATATATATGCTAGGTACCTAACTCAAGTAAATATATTATAAGCACTGAATATACATTTACAGTGATGGACAGGCATGCAATTTTATCCATCTCGTATAGTAAGTTCAGAATACGATAGTTATAAGCCTTCTATAATGTAGACGATTTATTATTCTCTATGATTTGAATGCGAAATTATCCCGATTTATTTTCGATATTAAAAAATATTACATACACTCAAAAAGGAATTGAGCGATAGAAAATTGTAATACAGTACTGTTTTAAAGCCTTTATAAATAAATTGATATCTGCCACTTAAAAGAAAGAAAATCAATCTATAGATTAGATTTGGTTATTACATGATTGTATATTTGATAAAAAGTTAAATTATTTATGACACATGATCTATACTCTATATACCCAAGGAATTATAAAAGATTTGAAAAGACGATTCTTGGATTCTTGTGAAATACTCAAAGAGTTAAAAAAAATATGTGAAAACGCGATTCTGTGTAAAATAGTGGTACGCTACTTGTGTATATGTTTCTTTTGAAAAAAAAAAAAAAAAAAGAACATGATAAAAAAAATTGCACAGGTCTCTTGATATGTGGGATAAGTATACCTGAATGAACACAATTTTATGCAATGATATATAATTATGTACATGCTACTGACGTCCGTACTTTTCCTTATAATTCATAAAACATAAAACAATTTAATTCCTTTGAAGCCTCCCCCCCCCCCTCCCCCGTCTTGATTATTTGGAGACGTTCGTGCAGCTAGGCATTTGAATTATATATTCGTTTTAGATTTAAATCTGGAACATGTGAATATAATTACCATTTACATGTATACAGAATTTCATATTCTATAATGGTAGATTTGTCATTATGAAATGTTCAATTTACGTCTGAGAAAGAGAGAGAGGGAGAGAGAGATTCCCTCTTAATCCCGATCCTCCTATCCATTTACATAGACCAAAATTAGTTCTATATCGGTCACACCCATTCTTTATTAAGTGTTTTCTGATTTCATAGTCAGTCATGGTCACATCCTGTATATTTTTCAGCTTAAAAAGTATCACACGAAGTGCACCTGTGTTGACCTGTCAATCAAAATCCCTTGACGCTGTATGCACTGCAATTAAGTAGCCTGAGTTCGAAATGATCTTGAAGTATGATCTTTAAGTAAATCTGATGCAACAAACTTGTAAAAAAAATATAATAAAATAAAAAATAAAATGTCTCTGTATTGTGAACTTCGATTGTGGGACGTGGAGACCGGTCCTTTGGATGAGATCGTATAAATCGAGGTCCCTTGTCGCAGAAGGTGCTGGCATAAAAAAGATTCCCCACTGCTCAATTGCGATAAGTGCCAAAGTATAGGACAAAAATTTGCAGTCTCCACCGGCGAGTGGTGGCGTCTCCATGTGAGTGAAAAATTCTGGAGAGGAACGTTAAACAACATACGTATAATCAATTAATCAATCAATCAATCGATTGCTGAAGAATTACTGTAATTGAATAATCTGTCTTATAGGTATGCTGTCAAATCTTGATATTATAACTTTACAAAACTCAGTGACTTTACGTTTAGTGTGATACTAACTTTTTTATAACACTATCACAATTATGCCAAAATATACACACAAGGAAGTTTATGATAGTACGGTGTTCGTTCGTCTGTTTGTTTGTCTTAGAAATGATTGCAAACAATTTTTTTTTAAATTGCTAATGATATACGTTTATCTCTTATAGGTGCCAAATGTATTATACAAGATTGATAATGAAAATCAAAGTACCTTAAGTACTGAAAGGACTTTTTTCCAGTTATTTTTTTCTTTCACAGTAAATATGATATGTATGCTTTTTACACAGAAAAAAGCAAATTCTTACAGATTTAAAAGAACGGAAGACTTTTTTGTTGCCATGGCAACAAGAGTCTAGTTATTATTATTTTTCTTCCTGGGTACTTTTTTGTCCGTGAGTGATCTCCGAAACTATACATCCGATTGAGTTGAAACCTTTTTAGGGTTAATAGGAATGTTATGTAGATTTGCGGAACGAAGGTCATTTTGCCCGCACGTGCATGCACGTGCGTGCGCGTGCAATGAGTAAAATGACCAATATACTTGATATAGCCATAACTTTCATATCTTTTGATGAAATACTTTGATACTCAGAATATAAGGATATATTAATAGTGTAGACAAGATGACATGGTCAGAATGCACATGCATGCACGTGCGCGCATGCGCATTGATTGAAATAACCAATACAATTGATATAGACTTTACTTGTACATTTTTTGATGAATTGCTTTGAAACTCAGAATATAAATATATATTAGAAGTGTATACAAGAAGACTTGATCAGCGCACACATGCATGCACGTGCGTGCGCGTGCAATAAGTAAAATGAGAAATATACTTGATATAGCCATAACTTTCATATCTTTTGATGAAATGCTTTGATACTCAAGATATCAGGATATATTAATAGTGTAGACAAGATGACATGGTCAGAATGCACATTCATGCACGTGTGCGCATGCGCAATGATTACAATAACCTATACAAATGATATAGACTTAACTTGTATATTTTTTGATGAATTGCTTTGAAACTCAGAATATAAATATATATTAGAAGTATAGACAAGATGACATGATCAATGCGCACATGCATGCATTTGCATGCACATGCGTGCGCGTGCAATGAGTAAAATGACCAATATACTTGATATAGCCAGAACTTTTACATTTTTTGATGTAATGCTTTGATACTCAGAATATATAGACATATTATAAATATAGACAAGACGACATTGTCAACATGCATATGCATGCACGTGCACGCGCATGCAATGCTAAAATGACCAATATACTTGATATAGCTGTAACTTTCATACTTTTTCATGAAATGATTTGATACCCGAAATATATAGATATGTTAATAGTGTTGACAAGATGACACGATCATCATGGACATGCATGCACGTGCGCGCGCGTGCAATGCGTAAAATGATAGATATACTTAATATAGCCGAATTTTTTTTATCTTTTAATGAAATTTGAATATAAAGATGTATTAAAAGTGTAGACAAGTTGACATGGTCATTTTGTACATGCATGCCCGTGCGCGCGAGTGTAATGCGTAAAAAAAACCAATATACTTGATTGCCTTATTTAATGAAGCTTACAGGGAATAAGACACCAAAAGGAAGTTGGGGAGCGTTTGGGGAACATCTGTAACGGTCCCCGTTACAATTAATACTAGTTATTATTGAGAAGGGAAAATAGCAGCATACCTTGCAAGATTTGTCAGAACATGACATTTTTTTTTTCAAGGTAACAATAATCATTAATCCCATGTCATTTTTTTCCCATGGAGAGTTATCTTCCTTATTTGAGTGCCAATGAACTTACAATAATAGATCAACAAGTACAATTTACATCACAAAAGGCTATACTGTAATACATGATTAATACATACCCCATATTTCTCAGTAGCTACATCCTCTAAGGTCCTATTTTCTTCCTTGGCCTGCTCCACACATCTATTGTAGGCCTTTTTCATCCATGAGTATCCCCCATCTCCCACTCCTGATGGGGCACTAGCCTTTTTCTGGAGCACATTCTCCTCTGGTAAACCTGTCCCTCCTTCTTTCCAGTATGGATTCAGTTCTCTCTCATGTTGTCCTAACTAAGAAATCAAACTCAACATATAATATAATAGATATTGAAATAATACTTATATGTAATACATGCTTTCTTTTCAGAGGAATTTATTTCTGTATTTATTGTCATAAACATGTGTAACAAATCCATATATCAAGCACTGATCTTTTTTTCAGATACAGGTTTGTAGCTCACTTGTCTGGTAAAATTGGGATGAACAACCAGAGATGCCATCCATCCCATTTTTTTCAGACCAGTGAGCTACAGATCTACAATGTCTTTTTATAATGCAAGATACACATATTACACATCTGACAATAATCTACTTTAAACACTGAGATTTAATCAAACATTTACTTTAAACACAGGGTTATATCATATTTATAACCTCTCTCTTGAAACAATACTTACTTGATCAATCATGATCTTTTTCTCCTCTTCTTGATTGTCTGCTTTCTTGGCATCTTTGATCTCCTTCCTTGTTATGGTGGGGATTAGGTCTAGTGGGGCTTCCATCCAAGTATCTCTCTAAAATACAGAAACTGTGTGGAGAACTGTTTTTGTAAATTCCCTCGGAAATAATCAGTTTCTACTTTGGTATAAACATAAATGCTGCATTTCTATACTGTTTTCAACATCTGTACTGCATTTCTTATTTCACTTGGAAAAAAATACAGCTGACTGTACTTTGAGTTGGAATAACTGTATGTCCATGTATGTTGGAAAGATCTTAGCATAAGATAATTCTTTCTCTTAAAATTGTTGAACGTTTTTGTGATACAGTATAATACGTACTTCATGAAATCTTAATGCCAATCTAATGCACACTTTCAAATTACTCAGATAATTATTAGCTTATCGATGTATATACAGTTGAACTTTGGTATCTTGAACACAGATATCTCGAATACCATGGATATGTTGAAGTGACTTTGAAGTCCCAAGCGCTTATTTTACCCTGGATATCTTGAATCATTGGATATCTCAAAACATTTTCCTGGTCCCATGAAGTTCGAGATAATGAGGTTTGACTGTAATTACATGTAGTACCTGTAACTGGGGCCCCTTGATGACAGGTTTGGATTCCATGCTTTTATTGGCTGCTGAAGCTGGTTTAGATTTCTCAACCCACATCTCTCCCTCATCTGATTCACTCTGGAAGATAAATAGAAATCATTTAAAGTTTGTGAATATACTAAAGGTTTATCCTACAACTTTGATAAACTGTAAAACATCCATGGCATACACCAAAACCAAATGATACTGTAAGTTTATGTATATAGACAAACATATGTACATGTAAGTACACTTACATATAACCTTAGAATACTTTCTTAGTCTTTAAGACATGTAAATTAATTCATTTAAATAAAATCAATTCACATCAAAATCCTTAAATGTTACAGTACTGCACCTACTATGTGAAAAATTAAATGGCATGATTAAAACATACCTACAAGATTAAATCAAGACAAAAATAAGAATATGTTCATAATCAATGTCCTTGTCATCAGCAGATTTGGTAATGGTAATTGGTAATTTGTAAATAATCTCATCTAAAGTAAAACACTTTACAAAATTGCCTGATAAACAAAAATTATTCTGGATTCTTAATTGTGAGGAATTAGATATTTTGAATTCTCTTGGAAGATTTTTACAAAAAGCATTACCATAATTAGTCAAGTCTCGGGCATGTGAACTGTTTTATGATAAATTATGCAAAAATATGTACTTTAATATGTGTATGATATAAATATGTTTGCATAGATATGATAAATATATATACATAAAACAAATATTTTTTATTTGTGCAGAATTTATGTACATGTATATGTACAAAAACTATCTGGTTTATTCCTCCTTTTTTATGTTTTTCTCCTATCAATCATGCAACTCTTTCTCTCTTGCGTGTATGTATATTGTATTACATGTATATGACTATATATAAGTGTTTACAATTTACTTTCTTTTTGCCCCATGAGGGCCCTTAATTGGTAAACAAACAAATTGAATTGAATTGTAAAATGGTAATGGTAAATAGTAAACAGTAAATTCTTCTTTGATCTAAAACCCCTAAGCTTGACTTACAAGTTTCATCTGAAATAAAACTGTGAAATGACCTTGACAAAATATGTCTCAACATGTATATTTATACCCCCCGCTTGGAAAGTGGGAGGGTATATAGTGATCGGGGTGTCCATCCATCCGTCTGTACGTCCGTCCGTCCATCCGTCTGTCTGTTACGCTTTGGAGTACCTATCTCTTATCCGCAACTCCTCTTATACCACTGAATGAAATTTAATGAGACTTTCACAGAATCTTTGTTACATAGTGCCATTGTGCACCTCCTATTTTACTTTTTGATCTGACACTTATTTTGGGTCTCCCAAAGCAAAACATGGACTTTGCCATTATAATAATATGGGAGGCAGGGGGTATCATTTAGTGAGCTCAGCGCTCACAGTACCTCTAGTTTTTATTACAGCAAGCGTTAAATTTGTCTAAGACTCTAACACATATAGACCACCAGTCAGACAGGAAAAAAATTAAATACATGTACCCCTATTGAGGGAGCACAAAAATATACTGAAGCATATTTCAGAAGTAAATATTCAAGTATAATGCTCACATTACTAGACGAAGAGGACTCTTCTTTTTCACTTTTTTTCTTCTTTTTCTTACTTTTTTTCTTCTTTTTCTTTTCTTTTTTGTGTTTGTTTGACTTCTCATAATGCTGTAATGAAATGATAAATACACTTTGATGATTAAGAAAAGTAATGTAAATTTTGTTAATAATTGTTGAACAAATCTTAGTGTATTCTTTCAATAACTTTTATACAAACCTCCTTTTCTTTTTCAATACGTTTCTCTAATGAAGGTAACATCCACGTATCCTCTCCTCTTGCTTTGGCCTGTTCCCTCTTCCGTTCTTCCTTTTCATATTCTTTTTTGGCCTGGTAAATTATATTTACAGGCACATTGACAAAAATGGAATTTCCTTCCAATAAGTATTGAGATCCCAATAACCGCATTTATCTCAATAAAGGCAACTTTAAAATTTAAAGTTCATATTATTTGTTGATAGAGAGAATTTCTGGTAATAGAATTCAGACAACTTATAGATCATACGACAACTTTCAAACATTGTTGTTTTTCTCTCCAATTTTAAATAATACTCTATTTATTTATTTATACTTTAAATTCATCATCATAAGAAGACTTGAACTACACAGATGCAGTGGAAAATGTGGAACAAAGCCCTGAATATTGCAACTATATGAGACTAGCTGCAAAAACGTAGCCCTCTCCGATTTTTTTAAATCTGATATATCCTCTTCCCCCCCCCCCCCCAAAAAAAATGGAGAGGGCTACATTATTGCAGCTATATGCAAATATGGGACGTATTCTAACTGTGGTGAGGGCTGGTCCTAACTCAGATTTTAATGGTAGTTTAAATTTTCTCTAGCATTTCAAAAGCTAAAGTACAATCTTATTCTATTAATAAACTATAATCTTAACTTTGTTACCTGTGGTACAGATAGTCCATGTATTTAAATGCTTATTATTTCGAATTTACTCTGTGATATTTTTGGGGGGATCCAAACGTAATATTTCAGCTAATGAAAAATGGATCTAGACAGAAAAATACTTACTTGATTCAGTATCTTTTGCCTTGCAGTATTCTTCTCCTTTCGTTTTCTATCTAATTCTCTTGAGCTCTCAAATGCAATTCCAGAATCCATGTCTCGCTCTTTTATCAGTGAAGGTAAAGTATTGTGAAATTGAATGTTAACTCGTTCGTAAAATTATTCGAGTTCTGAAACGGCAGTGCAAACGTGAAAATTACGGGTCAGAAGAGAGAGAGAGAGAGAGAGAGAGGGAGAGGTATTACAAAGAATCCTAATTAACTCTGCTTCAAAAATAAAGGAGAGCAGACATTTCCTTAAAGCATGCTTCAAGTTGAAAAAAAATCATAATCATCAAGCACAGATCCAGGATTTTTTTCCCAGGAGGATGGTATCCACCCCACTCCCCAGCCCCCCCCCCCCCCTCCCTAAAAAAAAATAATCGAGAAATTTTTTAACGAGCAAAAAACTTTAGAACAGTTGATATAATCAATATTTATTAATTTTTTATCATTTTATAACAAAATAAGGGGCATTTCGGTGATTCCTTGGGGGGGGGGGGGATTTCGGTAATTACGGGACATTCTGGTGGTGGTGGAAGTGGGGTGGAGCCTCTTAATGTATGACTCTTCCTACCAACTTAACAGAGATCGATGTTTTCTAATGAGGTCCAAAGTTATTCGTCAGTAACTCTACTGTGTACAATTAACAACTCCTCAAATTCCGGGGGGGGGGGGGGTCCGGACTATTAGACGCCAATATTGAAAATCTCACACGTGTATCGTCCGGTGTTAAATTGCTTATAGTGACACTTCCCCCATAGTCATACTTCCTCCGGAAGACTGGCTATATCAGTTATATGTGACCACCCCTTCGCCTTTAGATAATTACATGTAGATACATGCACTGTATGTCTATATAGCCCAGTGAGCCTTCCCCTCAGCAATGCTCAGAAGACGTACTTTATAATAAACAGTCTCACTACACAGCCATTTTTCGCGGGTAGGAGGTGGTCATTCTTCCCTTTTTTTGAATAACAAGATTTCAAATATATAAATTAATACAGACCAGCGGCGGATCCAGGTAGAGGGGGGGGGGGCAGTAGAAGGTAAGGGTCTGGGGCTACATTGAACCCCCAGCGGGTCCAGGGTAAAGCCCCGACGAATTCCAACAAATAAGAGGTATTTTTTATTTGATTTTAGGATAATACAAACAAAATGTCCAAAAAAAAAAATCAAGCGGGGGGGGGGGGGAGGGCACGCCCAACGCGCCGGCGCTGGATCCGCCTTTGGACAGATGTATCGACTTTTGAATATAAAGTACATGATTAGGAATATGAATCAAAAGTTTAAGAGAACGTACAATAACTTTCGAATATTAATCTAAAAGTTTATGAATACATGTATCAGTAACAGGATTTGACATGTAAATCGCAAGGTAAATATCGAATCAGAGACCTTATAAATCAGTGAATAGTTTAAGGTCCCTGATCATTAGAACTCTTCCAAAGTGGTTTTCTTTTTAAAAATGTTTATATAGATCCTTGGAGTACATTTCCACTCATTTTTGTCTTTCTCATTTTTTTTGGTCTTTTGTCTTTCACATGACAATTCGAGTAAATGCATGTACGATTTAACATCAAAGTAAAGCGAAAATGAAAGAAGAATTAATCCGTCATAAACAGCCGAAAGTTTAAAAAGAACTCTTGGCAGGTATAATAATACTCATGATTTATATATACCTGAGAATATTTTTATTTTTCTTGACTTTAAACATGTTATTCGCTATAATTCATAATAACAATTCATATCAATATAGTTTAAAAGTAAAATTACATCAGACATATGACCGTAATTTCTGCTTTGATTGCTTAAGATTACAATGGCCCAGCAAATGTCTGAAAAGGCTATGAAAGCAGCACTCAGAAAAGAGTTCAAAGCCAAAATAGCAGCAATTCCAAAGATAGTCAAAGAATCCCACTCGAAAATAGTAGCGCAAATGGTGAGTACTTAAGCTGTATTATATTGGCATGAAATGACTTTCTAACTTTGCAGATGTATGTTTCATTCTCTCACATTGATTTTTATGTTTGTTTCTGAAACGTGTTCAGGCACCCCTACCAAGCATTTGGTTGCTGCAGGGACCTATATACTAACTGTATATAGGTCCCTGGTTGCTTTGATTCACACAGCATTTGATTGGTTGTACACAAACTTTGAAGACATTGACAAGCTTCTTTTTTTATAATTTAAAAAAATGAAGAGCAAGAGTTTGGGAAAAAACGCTAGCTAACAAGCGCAAGTTATGGAACCTAGTGTATTTCTCCCCACTTGAATTTTTCCCTCTTTAAAACATCCCTTTAATGTGTCCCTAAAGGAATAAGTTTTCTTCTTAATTTTCTTTAATAATTTAAAGCTATATATGGCGTATCTGAGCTAAAAAATAAAAATACGAGATTGAGTGTAGATGAACATGATATTTGTTATTTACGTTCAAATTAAAATTTTCACCGATTTTGAACATGAATAACCCCACATTTCTATAGCTAAATTGACTTTAAACTGTGTCTGATATTTTAATGCGGAATCCGTAAATAAATCGGCTATTGTTTTAAATTTCTAATATCTATGAAACACTATTGATTTCAATTGTGTAATTTACAGGAAAGTCCTATCTTTATATGAAGTAATAAAACAAATAGAAATATCCTTTTAATTTTAGTTAGTCTGAACTTATCAAAAATATGCCATATATGACTTTAAGCATTTTTCACCTATCTGTATCATTTATATTTTTCATTAATTAAATTGAGTTAAGAGAGAAAATTACCTGCAGTTGTTAAGTATGTTTATTGCAATATACCGGTACTTGGAAAATTTGTTACATGTAGCACAGACTGCAGTTGCAATAAATTTTGTATTTATGCATTTTAGTTTTTGGATCTGCCAAAAGTGAAGAAAAGTGAACGTTTCAGTGTATACTTGAGTAGGGATGATGAAGTGGACACAACGTTTATCATTAGGACTCTACTACAACAAGGAAAACAGATATTTGTTCCATATTACAAGGGAGAAGGCATGAAAATGGTTCCCCTGTATTCATGGCAGGATTATGAAAGGATGCCGGAAACGTCCTGGAATATCAAGCAACCAGAGGATGGAGATAGGAGACCAGATGCATTAGACTTAGGTATTGTGAAAGTAATTTTTGTAGTGAAGCAACAACGGAAAATTGTAGTGTTTCATTGGACATGTCATGAATGTGAATACCTCTTATATGAGTATTAGTTAAGAAGTCAAACTAGTATAATTTATTTAGTACAATGTTTCATTTTAAATATTGTTCCATTTGAGACATATGCTGTCATTTTAATAATCTTTCTTTGGTGCAGAAAAATGAGTTTTCCTACCTACATATCACATCCACACACAAAATGGTTAGTTGTGAAGGTTAATTAAGACATTATGTTTCATTTCAAGCTTTTTTCTGAAATATTTTTAAACATTTCTTTTTAATTTTTATTAATTGCTTAAGTTCATATCCAGGGGCCTGTTTTACAAAAGAACTTATGACTAAGACCAAAAACTTCAGTTGATCGTAAAATTTTGCAAAATTAATCATTCTGTTTAAAATTGCTAGAGTAAAAGTATCTTTCTACATACTTTTTAAAAGTAATAAAACCATTTTCTATTTAATGTAAAATTGAAAAGCATTAGCAGAATTAAATTTTGGTCTTAGTCGTAAGTTCTTTTGTAAAACAGGTCCCAGGTCCTTAAGACTTGGAGACTGAATTTGGTTTCACTTACCTCTGTTTCTCCTTAGGTGGACTAGATGTGATAGCATGTCCAGGACTTGGTTTTAGTGAAAATTTCTTTCGCCTTGGAAGAGGAAAAGGTTACTATGACAAGTACATTCACAGATGCAACTTAATGCAGTGTGAACCCTTTCTTGTTGGACTGGCTTTTAATGAGCAGATGACTAGCACTGATCTAGCACTAGGTGAAAGAGATAAGCAATTATCCCTCATTCTTTACCCGGACTTTAACAGAGTCCGACGCAGAAACAGTGGTGAGGCTACGAGACAGTTCAAACCGATATTCAAGACTTTTCTATACACTTTCCCTGATAAATAATTGAGCATGAAATTATTGTAAATGAATGATGAATGATTTTTTTTAATTGTGGAATATGTGATTTTAAGATATAGCGTGTATGAATTTAATATGCTGACTAAATACAAGGTCACATGTACATCTACATACTCAAATCAAAGATTGATGAGAATATTTATTCAATTTGCCTCAAAATTTTCAGTTGAACTTAATCTCTTATTGCCATATGTCATTGTAATGAATTTCATACTTGTGTATCACATAAAATTGGATTGGATCTAACTCTGTGTGTATTTACAAGACCACTTCCAAAACTTGAACCTACCTTGGGTCAAATTACATGTAAGAAGCATGAAATGAAAATTGTTGCATAAAAAGATTTTAGTTTGAAGCTTTATTTTGAGACTTGAGTAATAAATGATGCTTTCAATAGTTATTACAGTCAAGCCTCGTTAATCTGGATAGTTGTGTTCCTGAGCAAATTGTCTGGATTAATGAACGATGACTGGATTACTGAAACGTACCTAGTATAGATAAATTGTTCCCCACTAATTTTGTATGGAAGGTGAAGCGTCCAGATTTTTGATGTCCAGATTAATGAGGATCCACTGTATTCAGTACTTGTTTAACTACAGGGTTTATACAAAAGTAAAGTCATAACTGCTATGGAATCTTTAAAATGAATGTTATCAATAAAATTTTATAGTTTTAACCCTTTCTATTTTGACTTTTGTCTTAAAATTTTATATTAGTCATATTACTTTTAAAATATTACGAAAAACACAATGTTATGCTTTGTCTAGCGCTGCGAAGATGTTACCGACATAGTGATGACGTTACTTTTCAACACTCATTTTCAGTTGATCTGCAAGTCTTTTAAATCTCTCGCTTCTTTTTAAGAATCTTTACTGCCATTTTTTTAATTAAGGGTCTTGATTTGAGTTGTAGCATTTGTCCAAAGGTTATTTTTAAATTCATTCCTATGTATATGTCCTTAGATTCAAAAGTAAGTGAGTTAAGTTTGACTGATTGTCCACTCTCTGTCTTCCTCATTTGAATTGTTGTTAAATGTAAGTGTGATAACCTGACTTAACGCCAAACTAGACGTTTGAAACATGCGCGGATCTAGAGGGCGGGGGGGGGGGGGTCTTGACCCCCTGGAATTTGCGCAGTTATAATATGTATATACTGCAGCAAATAAAAAATGACTCTGGGTTTGATTTATGAGATTGATCACCGTTCGTTATCTTCAGCTTTTACATTTTGCGTCTTCGCTAGCCATTGGTTTTCGGTCCGCTCTGTTCCCGTTTATGGGGAGCAAAGCGGACCGAAAACCCTTGGCTAGCGAAGATGACATTTTGCAGCTTATGAGGTTGTGATCTATAAATTGATTCCCAAAGTGTGTAACATCATTGTTGACAGTTAGCAAAATCACGATTAATGATGGATACCTTTCCGAACTGGCAGTCATTTTCATAATGTTCTATATTAAATCGCAGACTGAGAATTTTCTGCGATGTGACTGTCAATATACTGTAAATTAAACTCGAGTTCTCTTCAAAGCAAAAATGATCTATTTTATCGAACCTATTTTGAAAGCTTATGTATACTTATTATGTCAGTATTCTGGGATCAGGCCCGTAGGAAGCAATTTCACTTTGAGGGGGCACAACCATACATTTTCTAGTTGAGGGGGAACTATCAACATCCAAAATTCCTTGACAAGCAAAAAAAAAAAAAAAAGAAAAAGGTCATCAGACGTTATTATTGAGGGGGCACAAGCACATAGCTCTATGTTTTCTATAGTAATTTATATATCGGAAAAAATATTGGGCCCCCCCGTGCCCCCCCCCCCCCCCGGTTCCTACGGCCATGGAGATATAATACAAAAATTGACGATGCCAGTACCGTAGGACTAACACTCAAAAATTCCGAATCACAATGTCGTGTCGTCATAATGCTTTGCAGACGCAATATCATTGATGACGTCACAATATATCAATTAGCTTCACGACGACTGTGGTTGGCTATTGTAATCAAAGAAATTAAATTCAGGTAAACAATTAATTAATTCATATTTTGCAAACGCAGTATGTGTTCAAATTGATTCATTATGACGATGTCCCGATTTAACGCTCGTAAGTGTGTTTCAATATACTACTATTTAAAAACAGATTAAAAGTTTGAGAGCACAGAGGATGGATTCATCAGCAAAGAGGATGGATGCATCGTATAGAACTAGTGCAGGGTTACTGGAAAGAATGAGCTCTGATCCTTTGGTGGTAATTAAGCTGGATGGCTTTAATCTAAATGTACTTGTAACACTACTGCAAAGTTTTATTTTATCATTGTTTCATATTAATTTTCCTCAGGTCCCACCTCCTGGACTATATGATATACTACCATTGTCTCACTTTGGTGACAGAATGGAGAGGTATCACAGAATTGTAAGTATAGTTACGTCGGCGTCCAGCACATTTATTAGGATTGAAATTCAATTCACAATATGAAAAAAATGAAACACTTACTCACACACATGCAGAAAAAATCAATTGTTTCGGAAATTTAGTCCAAAGAAAACTTTTTTTTTGTTTCAGATGATGGCAAAAACCAGAAAAGATATAGCTTTGATGGAGATGATCTGTAGCCGCAGGGGGATAGATTTAGAGGTGAACAATGAAGTTTCCACTTACTCAGATAATAAAAGTATTTATAAAAATTTCAAAAATACAATGTAACAATGAAAATAAATAAAGAAGAAAATACATAGTATTTAATGTTACTGTTTTCCAGAAAACCGTACAGAGAGGACGACAGGCATTTGCTGCCCATTTGGTGAGCAATTATGAAAATGCGCGTATATTTTTTTTCTTTAATAAATATTAAGTAGAAGACCTGAAGAATAATTACACTATGTTTTTCAGTATTTGTAAATCATTTCTTTGTTTTGTTAAGGACATGTCAGCCTTGATCTCCCTTAAAGACGGAGCTGTTCAGGAATTGGAGGATATTACCCTGAAACCAATAATAACAACAAAGGTGGATTTTTTGTGTATCAACATTTAATGGGAATGATCTTGTATTACTTGTGATAGTTGGATATTATTGTTATAAATGCAAATGATCACAGTATGCCTAATAATATCCATATTTTGTTTCTGCTTCACAGTCACAGGACTTACCGTTCTCAGTGGTTGCTACGGATTCAGCGATACCAGAGACAGACATTGCAGAAGTAGAGGTGATGATATTCATTATTTATAAAGCACACCTATTTCAATATTGAAAAACGTCCAAATTTAATTTCTCTCCTAACATTTCTTGTTTTTGAATCATATTTGTTTTTTCTAGGTTGGAATGATGAAAACTTATTTTAAGGACGAACTGGATTTTATCGAAACGCCCGTGACCAAGAGCAAGCCAAACAAGGCAAGTGATTAAGGAAGTTAATACATATTGTAATGTTATGTTGTGTTGTTATATTGAACATTATGTTTTGAGATGGTCCCTAAATGCTGGCGATTGACTTGAGTTAACTTTACTTGTTTTATAGTTGTAAATTACGGGAAACTTGCATTTTACAATATTATGTTATGCTCAGGTACTTATTTTAAAAGTTTAATGTGTGTAATTTTATTTATTACTAGATTATTGTAATGTTATATCTTACGTATTAGTTATGTTGAGGAAATTCGAACTGATATGTCACACGTGCGTTTCATTTCATGGAAATCATTAAATATTTTAATTGACACACTTACTGATTCATTCCCAGGCTATATGATGCATTTCTTGTATTGTTAGGGTATATGCACTGTCTTAATTCCATTATTTGTACACTTTTTGAAGGAAGTTGTCAGCTACTATTTTTTGTAGTTCATAGGTTGACCTTTACTTCCGGGTCAATTTGCTGTTTTTAGATTTCACCCCTATTAATATTCATACCTCTTGTGTCATGACGTGACATTGTAAGTAAACAAAGTAATATTTTTATCTTTATACATGAGATGTTGAATGAAAAGTAGTATTTAAATTGTATAATTTTATTTGTTTGAAAGTTTTAATAATGGAACTATGTTGCACGAGATATTTTCCGTTTATTGTAAACGAAATCTGTTCTTAGTAGACGAATTTTTAGAGTAAATTGGTTAAACGGATTTTGACGGGGTATAAATATGACGAATCCGTCAATTTTCGTTAGTCTGCAACTTTTGGGTTTTAGAGAAACAAGTGGGGTTAGCATAATTTTTAAGATGTAAGTTTATTTATTCATTTGGAATTTTACTGGGTAAAAACTAATTGAAATTGCTAGGAAATATTTTTAGGGATTTAGATTTGATCACATATTTCTGAATTTGGAAATCTGATCAACTAATTTGTTAATTAGTGTGAATAACTTAAATTAAAGTCACATATTCCGAGTTATCTCTGAATCAGACTTTACAAAAGTTGGGAATTTTATCAATTTATTAATTAATTGCAAGTAATTTAATTAAAGTCACATATTTGGAGTTATCTCTGAATCAGACTTTACAAAAGTACTGTTTGTGAATTTACTTGAATTCTGGTTTTATTTTGGGAGAAATTGAGAAACAAAGGAATTAATTTCATGTTATTTTGAGGAAGCTATTAATTTATTATCTTGTTAAAAGGGACTATTGCACTAAATAAATTGTGGAACTTGAAGCAGACTCTTCATTTTGTTTCTTTGGTACTTAAATAGTACCTGGTGTCAGAAAAAAAAAGAATTAAATAATAAAAGAAATAAATTTAAACTTCAAAATTTGAACTGCACCATCCTGACAGACTCAGGCAGTTCAGAGTGTAGCGTCAGCACGTTACATATTTTTGGTGTCAGAAGTGGGATCCTTGAGCATTTTACCTAGGATCCAGTGAAACGAACCCAGGTAATCACAATGTATGCAACAAGGGCACATAAAAAGAAGAGGGTACAAAACTTAGAAACAGGTGACACTTTAGAGTCAAGTGAAGTAGATACTCAAACAGATGTAGATTCTACTAATGATGAGATGTCAGAAAGACTGCATAAAGGAAATAGTCCACAGACTGCAGCAACAGATTCCAGAGATAGAATGAGTACATTAAACAAACAGGGTCCACCTACTCAACAACCCCCTCTTGTAAGTAGGAGTAATACTGGCACGATTAGCTCAATTTTGCCCAGAGATGTAAATGCAGAGACTGACTATAGCAGTCAGGATGAGGTAAGGTTTATAGTTCCATCTGTTAGGAATACACCTAATTCTACACGTCCTAGATCTGCTCCCGTCACTTCACGACCACCATTTTTTGATCAGAAACTTAATCAGCCAGAGCCAAATGATGAGGCAGCATTTGAAAGGTGTATGGAGAGATCAGGTATCGTAGGCACTTTCAAGGCTCTAATTGAGGAAGTGACTACAACTATGACTGAAATGAAGACAATGGTACAAAATTTGAATGGAAAGAATCTACAAGATAAAGCTATTGATCCTAGCAGCACACAATCTCAGTGGACCACAAATTCCAGAGCAACAAAGAGAATAAAAAGACATAACTCTGATACTAAACATGAGAGAGAGGTGAGTTCTGATTCATCATCAGAAGATGAAGATGGCAGGAGCTGTACTTCTACTGTAAAGACCTCCAGCATCATTAGAGACAAAAGGTACAGTAAGACTTTTGGGGCCAAGTTACCTCCCTTTACAGGCACTGAGCAGTGGAAGGTTTGGTACAACAGATTTGAGTCGGTTAGTAATCTGAATAAATGGGACGAACATGAGAAATTACAACAGTTGCTGCCTAGAATACAAGGTAAGGCTGCTGAATTCGTTTACGGTCAACTTAAACCCTCAGTTACCTCCAAGTATCAAGTCCTCATTCAGGAGATGAAAGAAAGGTTTGATGTCATAGAGACAACAAAAGCCTATGTGACCCAGTTCAGTCGTCGGAATCAAAATTACAGAGAATCTGCAGAGGAATATGCAGCAGAACTGAAGCGCCTATATGACAAAGCATATCCAAAGAGAGGACTAGAGACCAGGCAAGAGGACCTGTTAAGGAGATTTCTGATGGGGCTACATAACAACAATGCCAGAATACATGTAGAGTTGAACAAGGAGCCAAGCACTATTGAGGAAGCTGTTCACCATGTAGTGCATTACTTTGAGGCTGCTCGGAATACAAACACAGGGACACATCAAGAGGAAGACCGTGATAGATACCAGCGGACAAGACAAGTGAAGTCAAACAACAGGGACCACCAGGAAAATGACCATGATGTGGGACAGAAGCAAAAACAGAAGGAAACTGGACGACAAGGAGAAAAGAAAACTGAGAAACTTAATCAAACAGAACAATCAAACAATGCAGGAATGGTATGCATGAATAAGCAGGACTTGGAGGGAATGCTTAAGGATATGTTGATGGGTTTGAAAGAAAAAATGCAGGATTCAAGTGAGAAGAGTCAGTTCTCAGGTAAGCCTACATACAAAGAGAATAAGAGGGAAATAATTTGCTTCACCTGTCAACAACCAGGTCATATTTCCAAGAATTGTTCACAGAGGGTGAACAGGAGATCAAATGAAAGCCAAAGAGGATTCGCATCTACAAGACCAGAAAATCAAACTGCTTTCAATACCAATGCCAGAGACTTTATTCCTAGAGAATCACAACAGTTAAACTGCAGCGGGTCGGCTCAGTAGGCCATGAGCAGACCCCAGGTGATGAAATGGGCCTATCTAAATTCACAAGTGGATCTTTGTATATCTCAGTAAGTCATTGTAATGAAAATAATTTATTTGAAAATAATGTCTTAAGTGCAGCTGAGGTTGAGATGAAGGACTCGGGGACCCAAGGTCACTCCATGGGACATAATGCAAAGGAGGCCATTATGACAGAGATGGGGGATGAAGTGGGTCAAGGTGAAGGAATCCAGAATCAGGTAGGGGAGAGCTCGGATGACACAGATTCAGGTGAGGTCGAGATTAAGGACTCGGGGACCCAACGTCACTCCATGGGACATAATGCAGAGGAGGCCATTATGACAGAGATGGGGGATGAAGTGGGTCAAGGTGAAGGAGTCCAGAATCAGGTAGGGGAGAGCTCGGATGACACAGATTCAGGTGAGGTCGAGATTAAGGACTCGGGGACCCAACGTCACTCCATGGGACATAATGCAGAGGAGGCCATTATGACAGAGATGGGGGATGAAGTGGGTCAAGGTGAAGGAGTCCAGAATCAGGTAGGGGAGAGCTCGGATGACACAGATTCAGGTGAGGTCGAGATTAAGGACTCGGGGACCCAACGTCACTCCATGGGACATAATGCAGAGGAGGCCATTATGACAGAGATGGGGGATGAAGTGGGTCAAGGTGAAGGAGTCCAGGATCAAGTAAAGGATATTTTACCTGATGATCTCACCTGTAGGAAAAGAGTGACAGAGCCAGAGAACATTATACAAGCTGAACAACTTTCAATCAATAGACAGCATCCAAGAACTGATGGGATCTATTTAAGGGGCACACTAAAAAATGTTAAGATATTCTTCACCGTAGACACTGGAGCCGTGAGGTCAGTAATTTCCAAGAGAGTTTATGACAAAATCCCAGAACTGGAAAGACCAGTTTTAGAAAAATCTTCTCTAACTTCCGTCAATGGAGACCCACTTGTTGAATTTGGAAAGGCCCTTTTCAAAATAAAACTTCATACTGTTGAATTTTGTTTTGAGTTTATTGTTGCAGATATTCAAGATGAAGGGCTAATTGGAATTGATTTTTTGATGTACAATGACATTGGGAAGGCAGAGATCAACTTGAAAGCAAATACTTTAGAGCTAGGGCATGAAGTACTGCCAATTATCAGAATAGGATCACCCTTATTGGTACACAAGGTCTTATTGGCAGACAGCATCCCTCCACATGCAGTACCAGTACCTACACACACTAGAGAGGAGGCACAGTCAAGAAGGAGATCAAGAACACTAAGAAGGAGGAGAACGCCCCTCAGGAGGAGACAGACCTGGAGGAAGTAGATGTTAATAGTGTTGAATTTGTTTATATATACACATGTATATCTATATTTGAAGAGATGTGTATTTTTATTAATATTTTTGAAGGAATTCAAATGTATTTTAAATATTTCATGATTAAGTTATTTGTTATTGAAGTTTCCGTGAGGACACTGGAAACTTAAGAGGGGGATAAAAATGTAATGTTATGTTGTGTTGTTATATTGAACATATATTTTGAGATGGTCCCTAAATGCTGGCGATTGACTTGAGTTAACTTTACTTGTTTTATAGTTGTAAATTACGGGAAACTTGCATTTTACAATATTATGTTATGCTCAGGTACTTATTTTAAAAGTTTAATGTGTGTAATTTTATTTATTACTAGATTATTGTAATGTTATATCTTACGTATTAGTTATGTTGAGGAAAT